TAAATCTGCCATCACGAAATAAAGATGTAGGTTTTAATCCTGGCATTTTATTCTCTGCTCCTGACTACTTTGTAATTTGGGACAGGTGAATTCTAATATCGGTATTTCGATGCCTTCTTGTGTTTGTTGTTCTGAGGGACTAGAGAGCTACAAACATTTTATAAATAGCCCGCTTCATTTGGCTGGCCCCTGAATTCCCCAGATGTCAGGACACCAGTTAAAATAATTTCTGATGGCCTGAACCTGTTATCACTTCAGGCTCTGAGCCCGGACCTTTGCAAATCAGTCAGCAGAGAGGCGGTTTACTATTCTCACATTTTTAAAGGCTTCTTCTGTTAATATTGCTTGACCAGATTTTCTTTCGCTAGAAGGCATGAGATCAGTGTTGTGACATCTAACAACGGCTTTTGCTCCTCGTCCCGCAGTGTCTGGGGAATTGGTCAACTCTGCCTGCCTCTGCGCCCTGTTTTTCACTGCTTTCTCTCCTGGCCTCTGCTCCTCATTCCCAGCACCAAGAAAGGCTGGGGTGGGGAGAGGGCGGGAAGTATGTCCTTTCTAATCTATGCCTCTTCTTATTTCTTTTCTGTGCAGTGTGTATACACCCACTCCTAACTCATTTTCAGCTTTTGGTCAATAATTCGCTCAAATATTTACGGAGTGTCTTCTATGCACAGGCACCAGGCAGCAGCAAATCAGAGCTTACAGTCAAACAGCCGGGGGCGGGAGAGCAGACATTAAACAACTATTTGTCCACTTAATGATTTAATTAAAATTTTCAGAAGTGATAGACGGGAAAGATGCTATGAGAACATGCAAGTGATGACCCTGCCCTGTCCAGAAGGTCGGGGAGGGCTTTCATGAAGAAGTAACCTTGAGTTGAGTAGAAATTAAGGAACAAAGTGGCTAGAGGAGGAGACAGAGGGAATCAGAGGGGCAGACCAAGAGGTGAAAAGGGTGTGGCCATTGGAGGCCCTGAAATAAGGCTCTGGGTGTAGAGTGCAGAGAACAAGGGGCAAGTGCCACAAGATGATGATGGTGAGGCAGGCGGGGCTGGGTTTTGCACAGCCCAGCAGGCCATATTATGGATTTGGGGCTCTACCTGGAGTAATGAAATTTGAAAGATTCCCAGTCATCCATATCGCCAATTTCAAGGTCAGCTCTGTAACAGAAGAAAACACATCCACATATATTGAGACATAGCCCAAATCCTAACACCATTGACAATTTATAGGGAACTCCTCCAGCAGCTGCTGCTCTGAGGCTCTACTGTCCTGCCCAGGAATGTCCCCGGTTACATCATGTTAACTGAAACAGCGTTGCGGACAGCAGTCCTGCTAAACGTGCTCAGTCTGGTCCCACCTTGGCCAGAGATGAGGCTCCTGCCTTCGTGCCAGCATCACCCCTCAGTGAGTCCAGACATCTGATGTACAGCATGATGATTATAGTTGATAATACTGTACTGAATACTGGAAATTTGCTAAGAGAGTAGATTTCAGGTGCTCTCATGACAAAAAAAAGTGGTAACTATGGGATGAGATGACAAGTTACTTAACTTCACTTAGTAATCATTTCACTGTGTATATGCATATCTAATCATCATGGTGTACACCTTAAATATATACAATTTTTGTTTTTTAACTAAATTTAGTTTTTTATAAAGAGGTTTAAGTCCTCGGCCTCCCATCTGTGGGCACATGCAAGGGCACTGGTGATGTTCATAAATGAGAGGCAGATGGGGCATTGGACAGAGTCTCACTGCGCAGACGATCATGGCTCCAAATGGAGCCTGCACTGGGCATCAGGCTGACAGCTGACAGTGGGCGGTCTTTCCGGGTACCAGTGAGATGACCTCAGGCTGCTTGGCTGCCAACCAGCAACCTGGAACAGGCCGCCTTGCTCGGGTGTTTTTTCAGTCTCACTTCTTTCCACTTGGTCCCATAGCCCCCTCTTCTCTCTAGCCCGTAGCATCCATGTCAGATGTCTTCCATTCACCCCTTCAGATCCACTCTCCATCCTCTTCCTGGCTCTGTGTTCCAGAAGTTTGACACATGTGGACTACATCAACGAGCTCCCTTGCCCTCCAGTTTCCAGTTGAAGTCAGCCCATGGGAAGCACTAGCAGGAGAGAAGAGAGTGAGTGGAGGCATTTATTACTTCCACCCTCTTGAGTGGGTCACCATTGACTGACCTTAACCTAAGGTCACGACTCTGCTAGGTGGACCTCTCCATACAGCTGCCCTCGCTGGTGCCAGTAACTGCTGCGTCCCCGGGTCCTCCAGGCCTGGAGCGGTATATTCTCCTGGTGTTGCTAACCCCTTACACAGCACTATCCCTTCTTGAGCTCCCTATTCTCCACCCTCATCTTTGAAGGTAGTACCTTTATTAAACTCCCCAAGGGACGAATTTAAGGGTGTTAGGCTTCCTTCCCAGATCCTGACCCATACAGCACCTGACTCAGAGCGGAGAAATCTCAGCATTCTATGCCCATTTTTGCCCAATGACTGCTTTTTTCCTTTTTGGGCACATTTTGATTAGATTCCCTGGTGACTGACCTGTGCAGGCCTTCAAACGAGCTGCAGGAATTCGGTAAGTGCAGAGTAAGGCCAGAAACATGGACAAGGTTTTGCTCCTCCCCTATGTGATCTGCCTCCCCGCCCCTCCAGCCACCCTGGTCTCCTTGCTGTCCCCTGAACACACCAGGCACAACCCGCCACAGGCTCAACAATTCCTGTTCCTTCTGTCTGTGATAGTCTTCCCTGAGGAATCCATGCGGCTCACTCCCTCACCAGCTCCAGAGCTTTTCCTCGAATATCACCTTTTCAATTAGACTTCCCTGCCCTCTCCATTTAAATTTGTCCCCACCCCAGCATTCCTGTCCCCCTTCCCTGCTTTATGCATCTCCATACCACTTGTCTCTTTCTAACATACCCTCCAAGTATTTACTCTGTTTATTTCGCTCTCAAGTATATCCCCAGTGACCAGAACAGAACCTTTCATGCCGTCTGTTGAACAAATGAAATCCTGGTTCCAAAGGGAGTTACGTAGAAGGGACTCCAAACCAGTGACCATTTGGGTCCCCAAACTCCTGCTTAATCTCCAAGTGTAGCCACTTTCTGCCATCTCCCATCTGCAGTAAGTGTCCACACCTCATCCACGACTTCCTGAAGAATGAAGATCGTAGGCTCTGCTAGGCGGCATGTCTAGTCACATCCCGTTTAGCTGCATTCATGGGGAACTGTTGTGCAGCACTTTCCTGTCTCCATTTCAGAAGTTGAATGATGCTCTGGAACAATAAAGCTTCCCTTCGTCCAGGAAGATGAGCCCATTGATCCCGGAGTAAGATATACACTTTGAGCAGATATGTCCGTTCACATTCCATTCATTTTGAAAGCTCCTACTACATGCTCAATTCTGTGCCAGAAGCTGAGAAGGCAAAATGAATAAAATATAATCCTTTCCCTCCAGGTGCTCTGACATACCACGCTGGACTTCTACGAGCTGAAAAGATGAAAGACGTTCTCTTCTGTAGTGCAGAATCAACCCACTTGGCTTTGCCACCACCCGACAGTGAAACGTCGCTAAACACATGAAAAAACTTCCCATACCCAGGAGAGCCGGGCCTTGACCCTGAATCTCCAGGCTCTGAGAAATCAGAGACATGGTCCATTCCAACGTCTGAGACCCCGAGAGAGAAAGCCCAAGGTCGAAGTGAGTTACTGCCACATCCTGGGACCTGCAACTACCACAAACTCCTCAAGGCAGGAACAGAAACAAAAGCATTCTTCAAGCCCAGAGTCTGCAGAGTCCCTGGCAAGAAATATTTGTTAAGTGGATAAATGAATGAATGAGAAAAAAATAAAGGAGCTAAAGATAATAGTGGATTAAAGTCACAGGTGGGTCCAATAGTATATACATATCGTCCATCTGCCCTAAAGTATAACATCTGCGGTCCCAGGGGCCCATGGATCTATTGAATGTCCCCTGAAACTGGTGGGCTGAAGGTCAGAGCCAAAGCTTCAACGTTAGGAGAAGCAGCCCAGCGGTAAAGATTAGGAACAGAGAACAGATCAGTGAATTTAGTTGAGGACTAGTGTTTGGGCCCTCAGGTGTCAGTTGAGCATTGATTATTCATTAGATAATGCAACTGCACTCAACAAAAGGCACAGCAAGAACCCTGGATGGTTTTAAATAGCAGAGTTGGCTATATGAACCCTTTGGGCTTGCGTGCTCTGTGAGAAATTAAATGTCGTTTCCCAGGAATAATGCCCAGGCACAGCTTTTTAGGATAGCTATCAAATTGGCCCAAATACATCATTCTTTTCACATGCTTTCTATTAAATTTCAGTAACTGTTTCCAAGAAGTTAGACTCCAAGAACCAGAATCAAGGATGCAGGCTCCAGGATGGCCAAGGGGTGAGATGCAGGTCGCCTGCAGGCCTTGTGCAGTGAATTAATTCTCTGAGTGCTGGGCCTGGAGGCCCCGGAGGACAGGGCCCCACTTAGGAACCTGCACAGGCCAGCTCCCAGCTGTTGCCTGATGTTTCTGCTGTTCAGATGCGCTGATGGATGCTCTTATTCCACTGCATCTCAAAAGTAGCACCTGGAACCTGGTTATAAAGCAACTTAATATGGAAATGACAATTTTATATGCAAAGCAGATGTGTGCTGCTTCTGCCATTTCTCGGGCATATGCAAAACGTACAGGGTGTCAAAACCTCAAAATCGCTCTTTAAAACACAGTACCTGTTCTAATTCTGTTCAAATTTCTAAAACGATGGTTGGCACAGTCTTCCTGCAATCGATCCCAGAGAGCTTCTATCAACCCCCTGATAGATGATTTCAGTCCTGAGTATTTCCAGAAAGAACGGTTCTTTTCTTTGAATAGTCTGCCAGCTGGTCTGAGAAAAGCAGGTGCAGATCTTTTAAAATACCATATGTACTCGTGTGCTTTCCCAGCTTCCCTCCCTCCCCCGGCCACAATTTTGAGAAGGGGTTGTTTTGGTGGTTTTATTTTTTTTCTTCTACACAAGTTTCCCCAAGACTACGATGGTCAAAAGCAACAGTCATAAAAACAATGAAAAGTGTTAATACTAGTGATTTTAATTTTAAAGGGGATCTTTAACACTTTCTATGTGAAGTGCTGCCCATGTTTGAGGATATGTCTAACCCACGTGGACCCGCCAAGGCTGTTTTGGGGAAAGGAAGAGAAAACTTGACCTGTATTCACAGGAAGACTCGGCTGAGAAGGACACTGCTCAGTCAGCTTCCTGTGCTCCTCTGTTCTCCTTAGAATAACTGAGGCAAGGAGCTGGGTGGAGTATTTCTTTGTGGTCTCGCCAGCACCGCCATCCTGCCCTCACATTAGATTTTTCCATTTTGTGCCAGAATGAAAATAAAATCGCAAGGCCCTAGCTATCTTTGATACAAGCCTAGAATAGCAACTAGAGGAATAAACAGCTCCAATGCCTCGCTCATTGCTCTTTCAGGTAGAATCCTATTACATTTAAAAGTATCCTTTGAAATTCTGATTAGCCCGAAGCCTTTGAAAGCAGATAGTTATGCAGCAGCCCATCTAACGCAAAATTCCCTAGCTATCTGACAGCTCCCCAGCCTTTTGACCCTACGTCCTCTGGAAGCCTCTGGCCTCCACAACCAGGTGGTTTGGTGTTCAGTGAGGTACAAGCCCCCCTGATGGGCACATGAAGCTGGGGGCAAAGCGCAGAACCGGTCAGGTTAGGGGAATAATTATGCAAACTGATCTGAGAGAACAGAAAGCATCGATATAAATACAATCAGAGGGAGGGACACAGCCTTCATTTATTCACTCACCGTACAAACATTTACTGAGCATCTACTATGCGCCAGGTATGCTGCTGGCTACTGAGAATGCAATGGTGAGAAAAGCAGACATAGCCCCTGCCCTCTGGAACTTAGAGTATGGTGGAGAGACAGATGTTAACAAATGATCTCAGAAACCACAAACAGCAGCTGCTGAGGCCAGGGTGACAAAGTGAGGTCCACAGGGTCCTGAGAGTGTGTGGCGAGGGCTTTGACTGGGCTGCGGAAGCCAGGGAAGGTTTCCAGAGGAAGCTTTGACCTGAGATGCAGAAGATGAAGACGTGAAGGAAGGGATCCAGAAGGGCCTTTGCAGTGGAAGTTGTCCTGGTCCTCAGTGCAATCCGACCTGCACAGACAGTGGGCACTGATTCAGCGGCCTCACTCAGGCAAATACCCGACCTGAGCAGGGCTGAGGGGCTCTCGTCTGTCATTTCAGATTTTCTGAGCATTTGCTCTGGGTAAGACACTGTGCTAGCCCTTTACGACCACTGCCACACCCATTCCTGACAGCCTCCCTGGCAAGTCGGCAGTGTTACCGTCTGCTGACCAAAACAGGTGGAAGACTGGATTTGGCTTGTGGAGCTTCCTTTGCCAATTTCTGGTCCAGAATATGTTGACCTAAAACAAATTAACTGCCATTTATTCTACTAGCAAAACAGCAAAGAATTACATTTCGGGACATGCGGTCTACAGAGAGCCACAGGCAAGTCCCAGGAAACAAAGGAGAGAAACATCCCTTTAAGCAGTTGGGAGGGGCTGCTGTAAACCCAGAGTCCGCTGGAGGAGACTGGGAGTGCAGTGGCTTTTCCTTGGCTGAGTTATGGCAGTCTCTCATTGGCTGAGCTGTTGCTAGGCAAGAGGAATTTCTCCCTTCCTTCTTGCTGGGGCAGAAAGTAGTATCACTTCCTGTTGGAGATGCAGGTCCCTCTCTTCCTGTTGGGATCTGTCCTGTGTGCTTTGCTGGCACATGCATGAGAGTTCTCTCTTCTGGCCTCCCAACTCCATTGTAAATGAGGTTTCTGGTTATTAGTTTTCACAAATGCATGTGTAGTGGCTGGAGTGAGAGCAGCCGTCTTGGACCACGAGGTGAAAGTATCTTCTGAGGATGGCCAAGAAACAAACTAGAAGAAGCCTGAGTTCCTGTTATCGCTAAGGTAGCTTAGTTCCCTAACTACCCAGTGAGCTAGGGAACTAAGGGTCAGAGAGGTTGAGCAACATGCCCAAGGCCAAGCAGCAAGTGAGAGGCTGTACACCAGGATGTGAACTCAGATCCACGTGCTTCTAAGTCTGACTCATCATCCCGCCATTCGTCAGCTCAGCTCAGGGATTTGGCATCCTCACCTCAGCTTCCCAGCGTGGTAGTTCATCACTCGAAGGCTAAGGCTTTCTTCTTTAGGTCTAATCAAAATCTCTCTTGTTTGAAAGTAGCCCATTCCTCTCCTCTTTCATGTAATACAGGCAACAGTTTGCCCACAACTGCCTCATTAAACACACACACACACACATACACCTTTAAATGCTTGAAGACAGAATGTGGGCACAACACCACTCTGCTTTCTCTCCTCCAGGAGCGACAACCCCCGGCCTTCCATAAAGCAGCAGTCTGCCCCCAGAAACAAGCGCAGCATTGCCTGGAGCAGGAGAAGGGCGGCAAGGCTCCCAGCAAGCGGCCAGTCCAGCAGCTGCAGAGAAAGAGACATTTTTGGAGTCAGAGACAAGTTGCAGGGTTTGTCCATAGCCCTTTAATTTTCTATTACCCCGTGATTCTTTCCACTTCGGTGACACTCCCAGATGCTACGAACTGAGCTTTTGGATCTCCCCAAGGAATTCAGCAGTGTCAGATCCTTAGACACAAGACACTCAATCGTCGGAGGAATTACTAAAGGGCTCTCCCACCACTGGTTCCAGGGAGGGCTTCCCACTGACAGCCAAAATAAAAAAAGAAAAAAGGTGCTAAAACTCAGCTCACTTGCATTTACACCTTGTAAACCTCATTTGCATGTGTCACAGCTAGGTTCCAGTGTGTGGAGCTGCAGAGACAGCCACCAAACGTTGCATCCTGCCAACCCCTGGGCCTGTCAGTCACACCGACCACAAGTCAGTTACGCTGACTCTCCATGCCCCTCCCCACCTGCGGGTGACACAAAGATCAGTCACAAAGTTTTATTTGTGGCCTCAGTTCATCGAGATGGGTGGAAAATTCCGGAGGTGTGCAGAATATAGGACACACCCCTGGAAAATGCGTGCTTCATTCCTTGCTAGAGCTTTAATCCTATGTTCTTCAACGGTCTCCTACTCTGGTGAGTTGGGCTTAACCACACATGAATGGTGTATTAGTCAGGATTAGGCTCCTTAGCAACTGACAGTAGCTTAAGCAAGGTAGAACTTTATTTTCCTCATGTAAATGAAATCCAGAGGACTCACAAGGCGGCTGTGTGAAAACTGGGAACTCAGGCTCTTAGCTTACTTCTCTGCCACTCTCAGTACATGACTTCTACCTCATGGTCCAATATGGCTGCTCTCACTCCAGCTACCACACATGCATCATAGGCCAGGGCTGAGCAAAGTACTGCTCTCAAGCCAAATCCAGTCCTCCTCCTGTTTTGCTAAATAAGGTCTTATTTGGAACACAGCCATACCCATTTGTTTACATTTAGTCTGTAGCTGCTTTTGAAGTTCAGCAACAGAACTGGGTAGTCGCGACAGAGATCACATGGCCCACAGAGCTGAAAATACTTACTATCTGGTCCTTCACGGAAGAAGTTTGCCAACTCCTATTCTAGACAGAAAAAGAAAGAAGGACAAATAAGGTCACAGCAATCCAGGCCATTTCCCAAAAATCACTCAGAACATTTCTGCTTCCGTCTCATTGCCAGAATTGAGCGTCATAGCCATATCCAGCTACAGGGAAGACTGAGAAATGTAGTCTTGATTCTAGACGGCCACGTGCCCAGCTAAAACTCCAGAGGTGTCTCACTAAGGAAGAAGACGAGAAGCGATTTGAGTCAACTTGCTGTCCAGGGACACTTTTGGTGCCTCAGACTCAGGGTCTGGACAGAGACAGGCTGACTGGCTTTCTCGGCTGCTACCCCAAGTCCACAGACTGCTTGGCCGCTGGGTTTTAGGTCCTAGACAAGGGGAGAAGGTGTGGAAAGAGGCCTGGGTGAAGCTGAGCCCCTCCCCCTACTGACTATGGCAGAGCCTGCCCCACGAGGACTCCTCGCCTCCTCTACTTTGAGCCACTGCTGGTTTCTGCTGGACGTTACACAGAGCCCCCCTCTGAGGCAGGCTCCCCGGACCAGTGCTATCACACCAGCCACAAGGGAGGAGCCAGAAGCAATAAAAAAGGGGATGAGTTGAGAGACAGAGGCAGAGATAAAGAGAGAGATGCAAGAAAGAGGCCAGAAGAAAGCTTTAAGGCAGGGATAAAACTTTCTTTACAAATATAGGTATGAAAGAACGATTCGTTGCTTTATTTTCCTCATTAAATCGAACTCTAAAACACCATCCTGCTGAACTGGTCAGAAATTCACTGTAGTCAGTATTGGGGTGCTCTCCCCAGATTCGAGCAAAGATCCCAGAGGCCTCTGCAGTGAATCCTCCCATCAATGAGCCACACCAGGCACCCGGGGACACCATACGGTCCCTTCAGGTGAGGCTGGGAGACCAGGAGAGCCGACTCCCTAGAAGCACACCCCCCCTCCTCCCAGCCTGGCCCCCTCCCCAGGGCATGGCCACCTGTTTCTTTCCTAACAGAGGGAAAGCTCCAACCACACCCCTGCTCACACCCCCAGACGTGTACCCCATTCTCTCCTCCTCTCTGGTTCTCAGAGTAGCTTTCATTTTTGGCCCAGAACAAACCTTGTAAGCAAGGAAACGCCAAGAGCCTGGATACCTGTTGGAATGGGAAGTAGTAAGAAAAAGAGTAAAACTTCTATTTTATAGATAGAAATAGAGTTAGAGATGACCAGGCTTAACATCTGTGTTAATATCTGCCAAGTTAACCTCTGTGTATCTCCCCTAGCCTGTATCCATTTGCATGTCTCTCTGAATCTTTTTAGGTCTTGACCCCAGGCTCGTTTGCTCCTGTTGCAGGCGGCGGGGTAGGGTGAGCAGGTGGAATGATGACAGGTCTGAGAGAGAGGAGGACATCTTGAGCGCCCCCTGGAGGCAGGTCTGCAAAGAGCCTGAACTTGCTCTGATGATAAGCACACCTAAATTTCAGCCTATCCTAGAACAATCATTATGTCAAGGTCCTTGTTGTCAGCAGAAATTGATGATTGCTAAGTGGGAAATATCCAGATACTACTGATGAGTGGACTTGGACGGCAACCTGTGCAGAGTTCCTCAGAGCAGGATAAACAGAGCTAATATTCTGCCCATACGCACCAGGAAGGCTGTGCCCGTTGTTAAAATACTGCCAAACTGGTTGGTAAAAATCCACTGCTGTGAACTCCCAAGTACCACCCTAGCCACTTGCCATGATCTCCTCAACTTCCCAAAATCCAGCAATTAAAGCGCCAATGCCTGGCTCAGTAGGAAGCCTGTAGATCCTGCTCCTCAGCTAAGGCCAATCCATTCTGACTGGTCAGGGCCCATGCCATACCTGTTGCTGAATATTTTGAAATCACCCTAGATGAGAATGTTTTGAAGGAGGAGAAACGTGAGGCAAGGAGAGGGCTCACTTCTGGGGTCACCATGCACAGTTGTGCAGGCTGTTCACTGCACAAATTCTCCTAACTGAAGGAGCCAATGGGAACTGAATCCCAGCCTGTGCTCTTGCCAAGCCATGTGCCCTGCCATGGGGCTGAATCTATCCAGAGGAAAGGCAGCCTTTTTCTAATGTACACAAAGGTGCCATGTGTTCTAGCAGGCAGCTCACTTCAGAAGCTTTATTTCAATCATCCAGGCCTGAGTGGAAGAGGCCTGACCTAGGATGGGGGCCATAGACTGGAAGTCAGAAATAGATACAAGAGACGTTTTGGAGCATAACACATCTTACCAAAAAACCTGATCGGTTAGAGGTAATGAGGGAGAGTGAAAATATAAACTTGATTCCAATCTGGGAGACTGGAAGACAGTGTGCTACTGACAGAGAGAAGAAGGACCAGCTGGAGAAGTGATGGGAGGAATTTTGCTTCCTGCCCACTCTCTGGGAAATTATAGCTGGGTATCCAAACACAATGCCCAACCAAGAGACACAGAGAGGAGCTCAGGAGAGGGGTCATGGCTGGAGATGGGAGCTGGAGTCCCACACATTTGAAACCCGTCAGGGGCCTCTGAGAGAGGACAGAGGAGCTAAAAGAGCAGACAGCCCCCTGAGAGTGAGATGGTGGTGAAATCAGGGTGTAGCTCCGTATGATAGAAAACACACGGGGGTTTGCACCATCAGAATTGGATTTAAATTTTTCCTTGCCGTTAACTGGCTAGGAGCCTTGGCAGACATTATTTAATTTCTCTGAGCCTCAGTTTCTTTGAAAATTGTGGTAGTAATACCTACTTTACAGAGCCATTGAGAGAATTAAATTAAGGACGTGAACTGCCTGCACAATGGCAAAGTGCTCAACGCCCGTGACCATTATTAGAAGTATTATTACTATTATTATCAGCAGAGGGTTGCGTTCTAAGTCTTAGGGAATACCAACAGAGCAAGACAGGACACATCCAGAACCAGCCAGGAGGTATCAAAAGGACATACGGTAAGCAACAAACTTCCCAAGATGTGTCCTAGGGCTATGCTTTTTTCTCCTGGAGACAGAATTTAACATATGAATGTGATTTTGATAAATGACATATAATATGAGCTTGTCTACGAATGAACTAGAATCGCCTCTGAGCTGGGTTTGGCATCGGGAGAGCTGACGTCTGGGAAGGAGCAATGCCTTAAAGGCCCCAGTGAAGAAAGATTCAGTGAAACCCAGATGCTGAAGCTGCCTTGACCAGCCTGGAGTTGGGCAGGAGTGGTGGGAGGGGGCCAGCCCTTCCTCAGGGAGCTGGAATCAGGCTGGGGGCTCTCAGGGAAGAGGGACCAAATGTTGCCGGGTATGGAACCCAGAGCAGGCAGAACAGGCAGGATGGCATTCCAGTCTGGAACTGGCGCAACGCATCTAGGGCATCACAACTTCCTAGAACTGCTGTCCAAGGTACAGGGCCTCCTGCCTTGGCCTGCCCAGTCTGGAACTGAATCTCCGACACTGGGTCTGCCCTGCTACCTCTCCTGACTCACATTTACTAAAATTAACCAGGAGTCTCCTGCTGTTGTGTGGGGGCAAGGAGTCAATATTGGGTCCCTGGTACAACTGAAGGAGATGCTATTTCATTCATTCGTTCATTCTACACATATTTATTGGTGGCTTCTCTATGCCAGGCACTAAGGAGAAAGCAGTGAATGACCTCCTCTCTAACCGATGTCCAGCCTCTAGCCCCTCCTGACCTCGGCTGAGCAGAGCTCTACTCTTCTCCCTTTACCACTGCCCCACCTCTTGGCTCAAAGATGCTGAAAACTTTCCCATGGACTTCAGATCTGGCCTCTCTTTTGCCTTCCAGCAGTTGCCCCAAGCCGCTCCCCTTCCCTCACCGTCCCCCCCACCACCACCACACTTGTCTGTAAAACTCACTCCATGTCCCTTTAGTTTAAGCCTCCCTGTCAGCTTACTGTATATAATGCTTTGCTGTTTGTAAAGGGCTTCTGCATTCTTTATGTCATGGAACCCTCACCTCAACTCTGAGATAGGTGGGGCCAGAATTATTCACTTCATTTAACAAATTTGGAAACAGAATGTTGAAACCAGGATACCAGCAAGACATCCTGTGTCTCTCCACATTCTCTAAATTCTCTCTTAAAATATCGTATTATTTTATGTATGACTTATACCTCGCCCACTTCAAGAAATGTGAATATTATATTGTATTCATCTCTAACAGGAGATATTTTAGTCTCTGGGTCTTTTGGATATTTGTGGTTATAAATGAGCTTGGGAAGTACACAATGGCCATTATTCCTGCCCTACACTTACTCTCAAGTCCAATGCTTGGCCTAAAATAGCCCTCTGCTTCTCACAGGAGTTCCCTGAGCTGTCTCCCCTTCTTAAGTGAGGTCCTAGAATCCAATCTCCTCTCCTGGGCATTTATCACTAAATTTATCACTAACCACATTACGCTGAGGTTGTGCAATGGTGTGGCTGCCTTCCCCACTGACCATAATGTCCTAGAGGGCAGGAGCTTGTCCCCCAGTGCCCAGCACTGTGGATGGCACACACAATAAACTAAATTCTCCTCGTTAGATTCTTCCTCCATATTATACACGATCCCTTCTCTTCTGATTTCCCTGCAGAGGAACATTTATCCTCCAGGCCTCCCAGAGTGTCAATATTCATATTCAGGTTGTTCTCAGTATTTGTTCCACGGCCCTGAGTACTTCTGTCTCCGTGATTGATGCCCCTAAAAGGCAGATGGTTTAACCCAAGTGTGAAGCACTCAGCGGAGCGTAGTTCCACACTCTGAAAGTTGCTTGGTAAAATGTTTTTGATCCTGGGAGTCGGTTGATGGTGGTAAAAGTAAAAGCCATTAGGACTGTGATTAATGAAGATACTTTATGCAAGTTTTCCCCAAGCACGAGAGAGAGGACATGTAATCCCATTACCAATACTCAATCTTTCACTCTTGGGGGATTTCCTCACTAATTAGTCTGGAGCTGTAATTTAGCCCATACTTTAAGGAATGTGTCACATGAGGACACTTCTAATTTATTTCTGACCTTCCCTGGATTTAGAGGCGCAT